CTTTATGATTTGAATGATATCTAATTTTTACATTTTTAAATGTACCACTAATATATCTACAAATTTTTTCTTGAGAATTTTTCAAAACTACTCCCCAATAAAAATCTAAGGCATCATGTTTTAAAATTAATTCTTTATCATCTTTAGGTATTGTATAAACAATTAAAATAAAGGTAGCATTTTTAGGATTTTTTTTTTTAAAAAAGAAAGTGATTGGTTTAAGTATTGTATAAAAAGTTATTAAATTTTATAATAACATTTTTTTAAATTGTTAATTTTGTTATATTTGATCGCAAAATGACAAAAGAAATGTTAGTAAAGAAAGTTTTCTTCAAAAGAAATGTTATTGAAGAAAGTTGTTAAAACCCACGAGCGGGTAGATGAGTTAGCAAGGGACTCTTCTAATTTAATAAGAGATCTTAATTTCAAACCCTAAGAATATAGCTCTGTAAAAACTCATGAGAGAGTTTTGTCGCCCATTGAGTCATATCTGGCTCAAATCCGGATTAGTCGGTGGCCCAATAGACTTCTGGATACCGGGTGGTCCATACCAAAAAAGAAAGAAAGTTGTTAAATAAATTTCATATAGGAAAAATTGTGGTATTTGGGGAACTTTTTCCTTGAAAATAGGTGGAAAGAAAAATTTATAAGTTAAGAATTGGATAAGAGAAAATAAAGATTAAAAATATATTTTTATCATTTCTTTATTCTAATTTTAAAGTGTATAAGTATTAAAATACCTTTATAAAATCTTAAAAGGATACATTTTCTAAGAAAATAAACCAAACACACCCTAACTTTCTCCAACTATCTTGCTTTTTTTTATTATATATAAATAATAAAAATTATGACTTATTGACATTAAAAAATTTTAAGACATTTAATTCTAACCACACTTAAATAAGATTAAAATAAAAAAAATAAAATTTAAGTGATATTTACATTATATCTCACTCATTTTATTATTGTAATTAAACATCCTATATTTTTAAGGTTAATACAAATTGTTTTTCTGCAATCTCATTCTTTTTATTATTTGTATGAATTAAAATAGGGATGACAATTCAGATCTGTTTGGTTGCTTTAGAACTCTCAAAAAGCATATGAGGTATTAACCAGAAGGACAATGATTGGTACACTCTTCAGTTCAACACATTATATTACATGCTTTGGTTCAACTATTAAAATTTGCCTTTAGTAATTTTCCTACCATGAATTTAAATTTGAAAATAATAGATTTTTAATAAATGTATTGTAAACTGTATTAAATCAAAAAATATACCAATAATTTTCCTTGACCAAAAATTAACTCGGGTTGGCTTATGAAAATACAATTTTTGACATAAAAATTGAGGTATACTATAATTAATTATAATAAATTATGTAAGTGATTATATAATAATATAATTGATTACGAAAAATATATAATGTTAGTGTGTATTAATTTTGACTAAGAAAATTAAAGTCTCAATTTACATTTCAAAATGGAAATCTTAATTTAAAATTTTAAAATTCACTCTATTAAATATTAATACTCAAATTGAAAAACCAGTTATATATTTTAATATAATCTATTTTCAAATCTAAATATCAATATTTAATAGATAGATTTTTAAATTTTGAATTAAATTTTAATTAAATAAAACAACATAATTTAAAATTGAACTTTAATTTATTTTAAAAAATAAAATTGAAATGCACTTTTCTTCAAAATATAATCATTTATTTCCAAGGATAATCAACTATAATTACTTTCTAGCTAAAAAGACTCTGAAAAAAGAGTTTCTTAAAAAAGTTATCATATATCAATTATACAATCTACTTATAATTAATCATACTACACGTAATTTTTTGTATCAAAAAATTTATTTTTAAGCCAAGTTGAGCTATTTTTTTTGTTTGGATACCCCAGATTTTTTTTCTGAGATCCATGGTAATCGAGCTCGCCGAGAGAGGAAGTTCCCACTTCTTGTTATGTCACTGTATGATGTTTGGATTACTTTCTTGAGCAACATCTAATTTCTTAATTTCGTAAGGGTATTTTAGTATTTATATATTTTAAAATTATAACAAATAAAAAGTAAAAATAGTATTTTTAATTGTTATTTTTTTATAAGATTTTCAATTTGAAAGCTTTTGTTACTATCTCTTTTAAGAAAAAATATTTCCAATAACTTTTTTTTATATAAAATCTACTTAATAATTTTTTTATAATTTTTTCTCTGTTAATTTTTAATTGCAGTCAACAAACTAACAAACTAACAAATTTTCATTAAAAAACTCAATGAATTTTCATATAGAATTTTCTAACTTTTTCATACAATAATAACTAATTACCTTTTCACAAAATATTTTCCTAACAAGGTTGAGTTTTAACTCAATACACAATTGAGAATCTACAGTCTCTATAGGAATTCCCATTCCCGTGAATATTTTTACTTTTTTTTTTAAACAAATTTACAATAGATCAAATTCGAACTATTACTTAAAAGAAAAATGATGTACTTTACATGTGATTTGAGATCACTGAGTTGAAAGCCCAAGTGTCGTAAATATTTTTACTTGAGAGTTAAAAATTCTGCAACTGATATAAATATAAAGAATCTATCTACAATAAATAATACTGGAATGGAGTACTTTGAGGTTTGAGCGCTTATCATTGAAGTAAAAACCATTAGGTGCATGAATGTGAGATACAATAGCAAGACAAGGTACGAATTAGAGGAAGTATGGGCAAATATCTAGAAGCTTGTTAAAGTAATGGGACACCAATCAAGCCATTAAAAAATAAAATAACCAAGTTCCTAAAATTCTAAAACTAACTTTTTTTTGAACAAGTTGTTAAGGAACGGATTTGAAACTCGTCTATGAAATAGGAGAAATACACCTTAAAATGATAGGTTGTCAGTTGATCGAAGGGTCAAGTGCAATTCTAAGACTAACTTTAAGTTTTAATCCTTAGAGATTTGAATCCTTCAAGCAAGAAAGCAACCTTAATTAAGATTATTTTTCATCTCATTTTCTTTTACAGCAAAAATATTTTTATTAATAAAATATAAGGGGCACTTTAAACCCGTAATATCTAAACATGTAAATTTTTTATTTTATGCATTATTTACATTAATCTCATTCTCATTTTCAGCCCAGGCTCTTTTAAAATACGTGTCTCCATTCTCTGTTCAAGCATCCCCTTGGCTTCACCAGCCACTCTGAAAAGGGTATCATACCTCCAACCATCTTATCCTTTGCCCATTGATATAAGCGTACTTGCACTAAGTCAAATAACTTTTCCACCTCCGCAGATTCCTTTTTGAAAATCAAATCATTTCTTGCCAGCCGTGTTGTCCAAACAACAGCGAACCATATCTCATACTTTATACGTAGAGAATACAATTATTTCATTTTAATCATTTTTAGATCTTACCTATATTTTGAATACCATCAAATAGATTAATGGATAATGATATAAAGATAATTTTTTTATACAAATTTTTTCATATAAGTTTTACATGTTATTAAATAAATAGATTTATTTAATATCATGGATTTTGAATGAATAAAAAAATTAATTATTTAAATGACACATAAAATTATAAAAAAAGTTATTTTTAAATCATTTTTCTAAATTGATTTAGTTTAGCATAAACAAATAATCTAACCATAAAATTTTAAAAAATAATATTAATTTCCCAAAGTTTCAACTAGTAGGATTTTTTTTTTTCAAAACTGTTAACTAGTAGATTTTTAGTCTTTTAATACTTATATTGAAAATTTTAAATTAAATAGATAAGCAAAAAATCAAAATGTTAATGTCACAACATCTAATCGACATTGATATGATAAATGAGACAAAGTAAAATTTACACTATATATCTATTATCTTATCTTTTTTTGGTACAATCTATTATCTTATCTTATAGTATTGTGATTGAATAACATGGTGTTTTAGGGTTGTAGTGGTTGTTTATCCGACGACTACGCTAGCATTGTGCATCATTTTGTTGTAGTTAGGATTATATATTGCTTTGTTTATGGGTTAAGAGACTAGTATCACTATCAGACAGGTGTAAGCAGATGGAGATTTGGGCAGATGAAGAAGATCGATCTTTCTTTAATTATTTTTAAAGAAAATGATTTAGAAATAAAATTTTTTATTATTTTTTATATAATTTTATATATCATTTAAATAATTAAATTTTTTTATTTATCTAAAACTTATAATATTAAATGAATTTATTTATTTAATAATATATAAAAATTATATAAAAAATCATTTTTATGTTCGTTGTCTAATTTCTAATTAGGAGAAGTAATAGGACTTAGATTGCCTCTCGATTCAACTCTGATTTTCTTTTGTTCCACTAACCATAAATTAGCATTTCTTCACTGTGAGCTTATATCTACCCAATTGGGAAGATTGAATCTTATTAAGTACTATTTTTAACAAAAGTACAAGCTATATATCTTTACAATTGGGAAGATCGAATCTTATAAAGTATTATTATAATTTAGTGGACACGCGGAATATGAAAAAATAAAAAATCTAAGATTAGGTTCTTATCACTTTCCAACAGATACACATTACTACTAGTATATGATAATGACAATTTACCCCAAAAAGATGCCAAAACCACAAATAGACCACAATAAATTATTCTTTTTTATGGTCCGTGCGGTTGGGAAATAGATTTTTTTTTTAAAGCAGCAAAAAAAAGTGTTATTTTGGTATAGTAAATTTAAAATTTAAATTTTAAGGTTAATATTTAAAAAAGAAAAATACTACTTATCTGTTTATCATTCAAAAATTAAAAAAATTATTTTAAAATTAATTTGTTTTAATAAATTTTTATTAAAAAAAATTAAAATATCTTATTTTTAAAATATGAATTATAAATTTAAAT